TCATTGTAAAATTTTCCTCCATTATTCTGGAAGCTGGCACTTAGAAATAATATGTAGTACAATGATACATTAAGAATAATTTCCAGGGGCCAGTCATATAGCTCAGTGGCACAAGCACCTGCCTGGCAAGTGCAAGGTCCTAAGTTTGAGTTCTGGTACCCTCCCTGAACAAAAAGGAATGCTTTTCACAGCTGGGCATGGTGGTACACCCCAGAAATCCTAGATCTCAGGAGGCTGAGACAGGAGACCTGCTGAGAGTTCAAGGTCAGCTTAGGCTACAAAATGAGTTGAAGGCCAGCCTGAACTGCATAGAAGACCCTGTCTCAAAAAGACAAAAAAGGAAAATGTTTTTCACTTGAATATGTGCATTCTTTATTCTGGGTCTACCTTAAATGTGTTGGCTCACTGTAACCATGACAAAGATTAGTAGATGCAATGGGCATACACATAGTCCCACTATTAGGAGGCTGAGGTAAGATCACTTAACTTCAGGAGTTCAGGGCCAGCCTGGGCAATACAGCAACATCTTCTCTCAGGAACAGCAGCAACAACAAAAAACTAGAATAAGGATGTCACTAGGTAAAGAGCAATGATTTTCTAAAATTTAAATTTATGTGCATGGGGGCTGGGCAGATAGCTCAGTAGAATAAGTGCTTGCCTGGCAAACACAGGGGCCTGAGTTCAATCCCCGGTTCTGAAAAAAAAAAAAAATTATGTGCATGTACTGTGATGGGATGGACTGAGAGCCTTGCCCATGCTAGGCAAGCACTCTACTACTGAGCTCTAGCTCCTGCCCTTCTCTCCCTCCCTCCCTTTCTTTCTTTTGTGCTACTGAGGATTGACCCAGGGCCTTTGCACTCAGCTATATCTCCAGACTCACTAAACTGCCCAGGATCAAACTTGCAATCCTGCTGCATTGCCCTCCCAAAGTCCTGTAGTTATAGGCACACACCAATCACACATGGCTCTGACTGTACTTTTTAACTGATACACAGGCACATTAAAAATTGTACATACTGCCCTTTTGGCTCTCTGAGCAGCACCACGGCAGTAGGCAAGAACAAGCGCCTTATGAAAGGCTGCATAAAAGGAGCCAAGAAGAAAGTGGTTGATCCATTTTCTTTTCTTTTTTTTTTTTTTTTGGTGGAACCAGGGATTGAACTCAGGCCCTTGTGTTTGCCAGGGAAGCGCTTATTCCACTGAGCCATTTCCCCAGCCCCATTTTCTTAAAAAGACTGATATGATGTGAAGGCGCTGGCTATGTTCAACATAAGAAATATTGGAAAAATTTTCCAAAATTTTTTCTCCTCACCAGAACCCAAGGAACCAAAATTGCATGTGATGGGCTCAAAGGTCGTGTGTTTGAAGTGAGCCTTGCTGATCTGCAGAATGAAGTTGCCTTTAGAAAATTCAAGCTAATTACTGAAGATGTTCAAGGCAAAAACTGCCTAACTTACATAGCATGGACCTCACCCGGGACAAAATGTGTTCCATGGTCAAAAAATGGCAGGCCATGATCAAAGCTCATGTTGATGTCAAGACTACCGATGGTTATTTGCTTTGACTGTTC